AAATATGTAATTTATTGTGATCCACATTGAAACACCTTTAAATGTAATCCTGTCTTTAAATTAAATTGGAGCAAAAGCTGTTTTATTTAAACAGTATGTCCAACAAAGCATGTCTGCATCATTCTGTAAAAATAATGCTTAAAATATTATAATAGATTTATCTGATAAAAAAGAAAAACCCAATTAATTTGAAAAGGGCTATGACTAATAAAACTGATACAAAATAGAAAAATAAAGGAAATTAAATGCATTTACATACTTCTATTTCTGAATGGAGAGGGTCCAAAAGCGGTCCAGGAATCCTATTTTGACACAACATATGTTATCAGATTCCTTAGTATATATTTAAAACAGTTGGGGCCCCAAAGGTGTGACTGCATGTGTATTGAGCTATGACTATTTTTACCATATCAACACCATGGTGCATTGAGGTCTAATTTTAAACCAACATATGTACAACCCTTAAAAAACATTTTCTTTTGATATATTTCTACTTTTGGATGATATTTCTGATTTAAAAAAAATCTGATCAATCTATAGTAATTTGCATATAGGAAAATAAAAATGGTGCCATGTAAAATCCCAATTTGAAATGTTGAATTGGGAGAAGAAGACCAATTCAGACTAAACATTTCCTGTTTTGGTCAACACAATGCATTTCCTCCATCAATGGGATTTAATAAAGGAAGATACTAAATCTAAAGAGCAACTCTGACCTCTGTAGTGCCTCCCACTATTTGAGAACCACTGTTATAATATATTAAGGAAACAGAAAGTGAATTGTAAAAACTTTATTCAGTTTGGGACAATTCCCCAAATGTACAATCTTAAAACATAATTTTCTTATTTGTGTTACAAGTTTAAATGCTTTGAACATCTCATATTGTAAACAATTATTTTAAATCACAGATGCTTAGATAACTCATTTTTTAACATGTTCTTTTTAGTTTTGCCTTGCCTTATTTATTTCTTCTTTACTGGAATTTTTTATTTACATGTTGACTATGTCTCCTGATATATATACATAATAATCTGTAGCATAACCTTTATTGGCTATGAAGGGTCGACCATTTCCTTTTAGTCTTTACCAGGTTTACCTATACACCATAGCAAGTATTCTGGCCCGTTCCTCCGTGCAGGTATCTTCATGTACTGACTTAAACTTATTGATCAAATACTTATTTTCCAACAATAATTTATAAATATATTTTAAAAAATTGCTACAACTTTTATCTTCCATTAAAAAAAATAATAGCATTCTTGTATATCTTTATAGAAGCCATTTTCTTTCTCTGAGTCAAGGTGAACCAACATAACAGACAATGATTCTAAACCTAAGGACCTTCTGAACTATGACTTTTGTGTTGCTTTATCACCTTCATTTTAAATCTGGTCCAACTTTTGCTGAATCCGCTTAAAAGCAGTTTCGTTTTCACTACATTTCAATAATCCTGGTTTAGTCTCATGAAATAAAAGATGAACATCAAGCACAACATTGTCAAACTCCTCAGTCCAGATTGTACCTGCAGTCGAATAGTGAGTGTCTCTGGTGTGATGCATCAGAACCAAAATGACTGGTTTACCAGAAGAAGACACTGAAACAGGAGACAAACAAGATTAGACCCTGTTTAAAAAGTAATTTATTCTGCAGTTTCATTATCAAGCTAATGAATAATAGACATTAAAGCAATCTGACCCAGAAAACGGTTGTAATTCAAGAACTTTTCAGATTTTTCTTTTAATTTTTTTTTATTTGGTAAATCAAAAAGAAAGCAAAGTTGTTCTTGCCAATTTTTTTTTTAAAAGTCTCATAGGCCAATAATCAGCGGTTTTATGGCATCATAACAACTAACACTGCCTTTGCTTGTAAGAAACAGCTTTAGTTTGAGTTTCCCCTTGGATAAGGGAGCTCCTGATTTTATCTCTATGGCTGAGACCTTTTGGACTCACATCACCATTTTGATTCCAGTATTGACAAAAAAGAAGTCTGCATTACCTCTTGGATCTCTCATGCAGGAGTCTACATCGGATCCAATGCGGGATATGATTGGACAGAAGACCATGATGACAGAGCATTCGTTCAGGTCTGTTTCCTGGAAAAGTGCTGATGGTGATCGGTTCTTTAACAGTCGTTCCTTTACTTCATCATCACCACCAAACGTTTCACCAGTGCTCATGCAAAAAACCTTCACTCTGCGACACTGCCTCTTTACAGATGAAGTGCCTAGAAAAAACAGTTACATTTAAGACTGGGGAAAAATAGTTAGCTGACAGAAGTAAGTTTGTAGGTTGTATTCCTAAATACGTGAGGTGTATATTCATAACTTTAGGAATATTTATAGCAGGGGCCCAGCTTAAAAAAAGGACTCAGACAATGAATGTTGAAGGTTGAGGAATAATGTTCCAGAGAATGTTTTCAGAAAATTTGATTTTAAAAGACTTCCAAACCGCACTTTTGGGTCGTTCTGAGATCAACGACATGAACTAATACTTTTTGGCCAGAAAAAAAATCCCCTTATACTTTATGTGGAAAAGACTGCATCAATCTTTCTCAGTAAATTATTGTTTACCTTTTCTATCTGTTTTCCATTTTGACCAAGCTACAGTTAAAGCCTGAAAGTCACACAGTTAGTCTTGGTCTCGTTGCTTTATGTATATTGCACTTGTGGGGACAATGGTGGCTGTAAGGTAACTCACCATATTTCTTTCTACTTTTTAGTTTAAATGTTTTTATCTTTTTTTGTGGAAAATGTCCTGTTCTTTTCAAAAATGCTCCTCGGTGATTCAACTGGACCTTCCTTACTTCTATCATCATGGTTTAAAGAACTATTTAATTTAACAATTGCAGCACCCAGCATGGTCAGACTTCCTATTACTTAGTAACAGTTTTCTTTTGCTTTTTTCTACTTAAGGCTAAGTAAGGTGGTGTGGCCTTACTTAAAAATATACTCCCCAAAATATATTTTGGGGAGTTTTAAAATAGAATTTGCTCTGCTAAAGCAAATAAAAGGCAACATTTTCCTTTATGCATAAAGGAAAGTTGAGTGTTTTGGAGATGATGTGAGTAGTCCTCAGGATTTCATAAAAGGTCTCCCTGTATTTCAGCATCAAGGCTTTGCTTTTGAATCATTTGAAAGTTCTCATTCTTTTCATGTTGATGGCATCCTTAATAAAAACAATCAATTTAAGGTTCCTTTAAATATGATGACCATGTTACTGCTCTTTTTTTTACCAACATCCCGCCTATCATCCTCACCCTTTAAATTAGATGTCATAATCATATTGGTCATTTGTAAACTGATCAACAGTAAAGAACTTTACAAACCCTCTTGTTTGTCTTGCTGGTTTTCACTCTGTAAGCAGAAATGAAAACATATAATTAAAAGATGAGACAATTAACAAAATTCCATCAAAAATCAAAACACAAAAAATAATGTATTTACAATTCATCATGTTTTACTTAAGACCAAGAAATGAAGTCAGATTTGTGACAGATGTCTGTACACTGCCTGCTTTGTTTGCAGTGACTGTTTTTTGAGTGAAGATGTAAATAGTGTTGGTTACCCTGTTTATAAATACTTTCTAGCAATTTAATTTTATGAATTACAGTACATTTTTTACAACTGTTTGTGCTGTGTGCAATGGAGGTAAATATGTAAATAACTACAGTGTACTGCATTAGTTTAATTATGGATGTGTTTGTGGCGCAAGAGAAAAGGCCTCAGTCTTCAACAGGGGCATCACAGGATCCAGTCTCAGCTTATAGAGCTTTCCGGCATCCCTACTTTTGAATAAGACCCAATTAAATAAAACACAAAAAATATTTTTGAAATAATGTTGTACATATGTGATGATTATTTACTGAGGAAAACCATCCCCACAGTGAGATTTCACCACCATGTTAAAAGGAGGGAATTTTATGTTCTAGGTTTTTTTTGTTTTTATTTTCTGACCGAAAGATTTTCTGACCTGTCATAACAAGCTACAATACAGCTACTTTATCTCAGTTAGTCAGTATAGGTGGACAGCAATGTTTTAATATTTTGATAGCAATCCAAAACTATAAAGTTTCATAAATTGGATAGAGGATTCTTTAATAAGGTCTCAATAACTGCAAAAAAAAAAAAAAAACCCTTATTGAGCTTTAAACTTCAAAATATCCTTATTGTAGTGCTGCTTTCCTTTTTTTTTTTTAACAAAGATATTTGTTCACTAATATTTTTTTAAAAAAGGGTTCAACAAGGTAAAGATATAAACTTGATTTATTCATTAGTTCACTTTCCAACATATCTAAATGCACATATTGGGTGTTAAATAACAGGAAGTGAGGATAATATGGAATTTAATTTTAGTAATTAAAATTTTAATTTCCTCTTAATTTTATGCTATTATCTGCTATTTTCTGTTGGTCTTGTTAAGACATTTGGAGTTTGTAGTTGTATTTTGACGTAATGTTCACACTTGATAAAAAACCTCTCTTAACTGATTGTTTACAAAAACTTTTACAGAAGGATAAGACATTTTCTAGGATATAAAGTTTTGTTTTCAAAATAACTTCACTAACTCTTTGGCGGTTAAAAATCAAACTAGTTTTAGGCTTTTCTTTTTTTTTAGTTAACACATTAGGAACAGGGTTGAACAGGAGCTCTGGGTCAGACCTGGATCTACTCTAGTGAAAAACCTCTCACTGACTTTACACCAACTTTTGACTGAGTCAAGACACAAAGGCCTGTGTTCAAACAACAGCTTCATACATACATGTTAAGCAACATTTGGGTTTAAACTCCCAGCTTTGTAAAGATGAAACTCTTAAAGAAACCTTCACTCACCTCACCAGTTTTGATGGACAACTTAATTTCGAGTTGTGTTGTGTCAGTATTCACACAAAGGTTAATAAATAACCAAAATGTTTTTTTGCAATTTGGACACTTCATTGTAGATTTTTCCTTTATATCATTCTGCCAAAGCAACAGAGAAGATTAGTGTTAAAATATAAAAATTATGGAAGATTTTATCTTCTATAATTGTAACAACAACAACAATGATAATGAGCTTTCTTTTCCCCAAAATCAATAATTAAGAAGATTTAAGGCTGCTGTGCAAACAAGTTTAAGAAAAATCAATGTATACATTTTGTGCATATTTGACTGTTATTACTGAAATTTATTTCTTCTTCTTGAGTGTCTTGAAGTTCCTTGAGTTGTTTCTAATTCAGTGAAACACAAACCTAAAGGCATAACAAAGTGTTTCATTCTGTGAGCTGGAGTCAGGCAGCGTATAAACACATTCTATTACCAGCACAGATACTTTAGAAGAACCTAGATTTATGGAAATAAAACAGAACAGATCAGTTAAAAGCCTGAGATTTGATCTCACCTCTTCTGTGCGAGTAAAGCTCGTTTTCCAGAAGGGGGTATTGTCCCCCTTATTTTTAAACACAGACATTTCGAAGTTACAAATGCCATTTGCTTTAATGTCAAATGTAGTCGAAGGGAAGAACTTGAATTGACAACTTTGACAGGATATACAGTTGTCTGTATCCTGAAAAAAGAGGAAGTTGTGTTAAAATACTGTATAAAAATCATAACCATGTCCATTCCAACAAAAAGCTGAGAAGATGAAAACATTCAGAACTTTAGAAAATTTTAGATGCGATAAGTTTAGATGTGATGTGCTTTCCCAAAGACACTATTAAATTCTTGTTATACTGATTTACTTTTGTGCTTTTAGGTATAAATAAATCATAACAATATATCATTATACTACGCTCACTCACTCATCACACAAATACAGGTGAAGGTAACCTACCTGGAAAGTTTGGTCTCATTGTTTAGAATTGTATGTGGAATATTCTATTTTTTTATTTTTATTTTTTTACCTCTTGGCTGCTCACTTTTTTAAATTGAGGTAGATGATAGCTATAGAGACAGATTAACAGCTGCTTAGACGGACAAAACTGACCTTATGAGGCCTCAGGTATTTGTTAATATCTGATTTTATACAGACAGAAGATTCGCTGAAGAAAAAGAAATGTGATGAAACAGGTAAAACTGTGCCCTGTTAGGTCAGATGACATGGATGATCTAGTGCCACACTTAAGTAGAAAACCCCTGAAAAGGGGTAAATGCTTGTGATCCAACTAATATTCTAATTTGCTATAAAGTCTCTATTTCATGTTCTTTAGTTCCAAATTCAATGTCTTCTCTTAAATCCTAAGACTCAATGAGACCTCTTTAATAGAGAGTGGACTTTAATCTATCTTTTTTTTATATTTTGCATCTTTTATTCATTTTATCTTTTACCCAGTTTCATTGATTTGATTGTGCAAATGTTATTTTTACCCATGTATTGGCTGTTTTGTTTTTTATCTACACAGTTTTATTTATTTATTTTTTAGTCTGTAAAGCACTTTGCTCAGTGTTGTTTTTTTAGTGCTTAACAGATAAAATTGGATTGTATTGGAATTTACCTTCACTTCTTCACTTATAGAACAGCCCTAAGAGCAGTTAAGTGTTTATGCTTTTAAAAGCAAGTAACATAATATATTTTGAGCCTTGCATATCCATTTTTCATATTGTGTAAGTGCATTTATTTAATGTAAATAGCATTATTATTACCAATACCATACCCTTGATTTTAGAAATATTTTCATATGATTTTAAAATGTAATATATTTTTTAATTATATATATATTTGTCTTACGATCTTGATTTCTCAATAGCCTTTGTAGCTAAGTTGATCATCTGTATTAAATTAGCTTAGATGTGATGTGTTGTTTTTTTTAAATGCTATATAAATTTCTTCAAATTATTGATTTTTTTTTGTTTTCATAGGTAGAAAACAAACTGTAATCTCAAAACACTTGCATTACATGAATAAAAATGAAAATAACTTACCTTGGAAATATGATTTGATTGTGTTGAATTGTTTCTAGACATTTTTATTTAGTTTCTTCAATTAAGGTGGACAGTACCTATAGAGGCAGATGAAGAGCAGTTCAGTGTTTATTTTTTATTATTATTATTTTAAGCCTAGCATATTATTTATATGTTTAGTAAGATGTAAAATAATGTTAAAGCCATTTATATTACTGATATCTTAGTCTTATTTTTCAGGGTCAGATGAAACTGGCCATAGCGCCACCTGCAGGTGATGACTGCAAACTTTCAGTTTTGATTCAGTTTTCAGAAAAAAAACAGCATGTTACAATGAAATGATAAAATAATACACCATATTTACACTGCAAAAAAATTGAAATTAAAATTTTTTTTTCTTAAAATAAGTGCATTTATTCTTGAATTGAGGAAGCAAGTGGACACTTTGTGAATGGACCAGGGCAATTTGCATTTAAAATAAGAAAAAAACAATCGCAATGTCTTATTTCAATAGCAAATTATCTGATTATCTTATTTTAAGAGTAAGCAAATCTATTTTGAAATCAACTCGTTTTATTTACCTACTGAAATTACGGGTAATTACTCTTATTTTAAGAATTGTTTTTCTTATTTCTAGATCATTTTTGCAGATTCTTAAAAGCACATAATTACATTTAGTGCTTCAGATGGAAAAAAATATAGGAACAGAATAGGTAGCATAGAAGGATAAACAGAAAAATAATTACCTTGAGGTCTTATGCTTCCAGCGAAGTGTTTTGCTGCTCTCTTCCTTCTTATCTCTCCGTCTTTATAAAGCCAAACCCCACCTTGGTCATGTGACTTACAATAAGCTTTGCAGCTTCTCTGAAATATCAGCAGTTAGTTTCACTTTCACCTCTGACAGAGCAGTTTTGTGCCTGAGTGGTAGGGGTTAATACTTTTCCTTTCTGTTCCCATGACATGATGTTCTCATAAGTCTGTATTTATAAAACCTTTTCCTTGTCTTGACGATGTAATGTGTAAAGTGTGCTTAAGGGAAGAATCTTCTAAGGTCTAGTGAAGGTCTGAATTAGGGCTAAAACAATTAATAATTGATTGTACTTAATCATCTGGTAAACAAGTTCTCCATTAATTTTTCTACTTTGAATCAAATCCTTAAATGGGATATACAGACTCCAAAGCATACCATCCATCCATCCATCCATCCATCCATCCATCCATCCATCCATCCATCCATCCATCCATCCATCCATCCATCCATCCATCCATNCATCCATCCATCCATCCATCCATCCATCCATCCATCCATCCATCCATCCATCCATCCATCCATCCATCCATCCATCCATCCATCCATCCATCCTCTCCTTCGTCTGGCACATTTGACGTAAAAGACAAACAAAAAAACAAAACCTAAAATTCCAGAGCATTATTTTTTTTACTTATGATAGAAAATGCATAAATAATGCATGTTTGCAAAATGCAAACATTACTGTACAGTATATGTAAAACATATACAGTAATGGTTGCACATTTTTTTGTAATACACTTATTCTACCCCTTTTTTATTTTATCATTAGTACTCCACAACTTTATACTGGGCATTTTTTAAATTATGATTATTTAAGTAAAAACAAAAAAATCTAATTATTAACATTTTCATCGCATGAACGGCTATACAACTTTGCACTATTTTAGTTTGTCTATATTCAACTTACAATGCATTTTTTCCTCTTTGATCATATCTCATATGCTGCACTGGATATGAGATGCGATAGCATTAATCTTTTATGGTCAAAATACATCCTGTAATCTGGATTATCTAAATATTTTTTAAAAACCGGCAAAGGGATTCAAAACTTATCTTTCCACGGATGTATTAACAATCATATATACAGGGATGCAGTCTTATGAAAAAAAAAATCTAAAATATTAACATTTACCAATTTCAAATGCTTTAATTGTTGAGTGATCCATTCAGTGGCTTCAAACGCCTTTATAAACTTCAATCTACTCAAGTCACTTTTTCGTTTCTTGACTGAGGTGAACAATAAATATACTAAACTAGGTGTTTTAAAGCCAAAACACCTCCAAATAATGTCTTTTGTGTTCATTTACCCTCTTAATTTGTGTTTTCATTTGAATATCCTGATTAAATCTCATTAAATAGAACATCACAATGAAGTGCAACATTTTTAAACATCTAGGACCTGATCGTTCCTGCAGTTGGATAACTGATGTTTTTGTTATGATATATTTGTCATGATATGGCCTGTTTGCTCTCCCTTAATTAGTAATTCCTCTCACCTGCCCTCTTCCTTCCCTGCCTCAATTATAATTTATTCCTCTCACCTGTTTCCTCTGGTTTATATTCAGTTCAGCCTGAGCATTCAGGGCCAGATCATTGCTTGTCTTTTTGTTAGTCTGTTCTGTTCAGTTTTATTTGGTTCATGTCCTGGATCCTAGCAGCCAGTGGAAAGAGGGTTTTAGTGTTTGTCTCGTCTCCTGATTGTCCACTGTTCCTCCCCCGTGGAGTCCTCTGGGTTTTTGGCTCATTATGGGGGGAGGTTCAGTTTTTATCCAGTAAGCCTGGCTCCAGGGAGAAGACCAGTTTAAAGTCCAGCTTCAAGTTCCGGTTCCTACGACCAGTCTCGGCTACCCTCTTCCACTGTGCCTGCCTGTCTGCACCTGATCCTGTCTGCTCCTGTGCGTGACCACCTGGTCATGCTGCTGGTCCCAGTCAGACTCTGAACCCTCCTGGAAGCCTGTGGATGCCTGGAAGTCTGGATCCTGCCACCTGTCTCTGTTCCTGCCTGATCTGGATCCTGTCTGTTTCTGTCTGTTCTGGATCCCTCACCAGGATCGGCTTCCAGCATCACCTCTGGGACTGCAGCACTGGGGACACTCGTGGTCTGGACTGTTAAACCAGGTAAGTGACCAACACAGTTAATCTTCTATCAGTTTATCGTGGTCACTTACCTGTGTTTCTCCCCCAGAGTGTCTGAGATTGGGCGGTGCCCCACCCCCCCACCTGCAGTGTCCGTGAGCCACAGCTCCGCTTTTGTTTTTGGTTTTTATTGAATAAACGTTTGAACTTTCCTACTAACTGTCTCTCCTTGAATACTGGGTCCATCTGTCCTCGATTCTTGACAATATTTGAACCAAGGTGGCTGGTCTACTCAATAAAGTCACTAAAATAGAAGACAAGGTTAAAAAGAAGAATTTTTTTTGTTAATTCATCAACTTGCGTAATAATAGACAGTAAAAGAATTTGACCCAAACTGGTTTTAATTATAGAAATGTCAATTTTCTTTTTATACATTTTTAGAATGTAGCAATTAAATTAATTCACAAATATTACTTAATGACTGTTTTACTTTTTTTTTATATATAAAGTTATAAGTTAGATGCATAACAACATATCCATTGACTCATTGTCTTCTTAGATTGCAGAGGGAATATGAGTTATGCAATAACTTTGCATATACATGCCCATCTCGGTGGCCATTTATACACAAATGCCCTTTTCTGTTATATATTGACATTCAAAATCATTTTCAGACTGTCTGTGAAACAAGCCTTACTGACTGTGTGTTAGGACAACAAACAAAAGTGTGAATCAAATCATGATAAAACAACTTTTCACAAATATGGAGTAAATTCAAAAAATGTTTCTTTCAAAAGTTTATTTGCAGAAATCTTTCAACCCCATGTCAAACATCTTTCAGTTAAAACCATTTAGAACAGTGAAACACAACTAAACACAGCTACTATGTACACAAAGAAGACATTAAAATTGTAGAAAACCTTAATAAAAATATTCAATCAATGAATGTATGTAATTCTATGTTTTAAAAAAGAGTTCATTTGAGAGTTTGGGATGCGGTGAAATTAACTTTTAAACAATTTAGAGCATTTGGGTTGTGTATAAACCAATTCACAATCCAAAGAAGGAAGTAAAACCTTATTTGGTGAAATATTATTTTAATAAATAATTTGCTTAAGTCTGAAATCAATTTACACAAGGGGACTCACTTTAGAGGGACTCTGATATTTTGGCAATCAAATGGAACAGGCATTCTAGGAAACGTGAATTATATTTTAGTGTTTAAATCTTTAGTGAAATAAAATTTGTTTTTGCTTTACAAACAACAGCTCAAAACAGGTCAGCATGGGGTACCATGCGGTCACCATTAGGATCCTGTTAGCTTGCATTGCACATCATTGCACATCATTGAACAATTGTAGTGATTAGAAATCATCTGCAACAACCAAAATCGTTTATGCATTGAAGGCTTTCCCTGACTTTTGTCAGGCCTTTAACCTCTGTTGAGCCATTTTGGAAAGTTGAGGCATCTCAAAGGTTCAAGAATGTGTCGCTGAGGCTGTGTTGGATCGATGGGTCTGTGTTTTGATAGCCCAGCTGTGGGGCTTTTTTTTCTTCTTTTTTTTTGTTCCTCTATGGTTCCAGTCTGTGATCCTTCCAGATAATTTCTGTAAACTGCAGAAAAACACAGCAGAAAGCCTGTTGGACAGAATCTGATTGAGAGATTACCCACAGGCTCTCTTAACTTGTGGAGGTTGAAAAGCGAAGATTCTTTGCCTGCCATTATTTTAAAAAATTCCTAGAGGAGACAGTCCAGGCAAAAAAGGATGAAAGTCTGGGAGGGGATGCCTTCATCCTTAAGTATAGTAGGAGACTGGATCACATGAGAGTATCTTGGAGAGGGGGATTTGCAGCAGTTTGGAAAGAAAGGCAAACATTTTGCTCAACCAATGCTCAAACAAAATTGGCCTGGACATTGTTCCTCAGTTTCCAAATTTATTGTCATGGCTTTTTGCATAACACATGTGAAGGAAAGAAACCCAGACAGCACTCTCTGTGCTGGAACCTTCCAAATCAATGTATCCATCCGTTCATTAATCCCAAAATTAAGGGTGAGGTGCCGAAACACTCCCTCCACTCATCCCATGAGTTGTGATGGACAATTAAATTTTTAATTGTGTCCCATCAATAACTTTTAAAAGGTTAATGATTAACCAAAGGGTATTTTTACATTTTGGGCACTTCACTGCACTCTCCTCTTTCAAGTCATCCTGCAGAAGCAACAAAAAAGATTTGTATTTGAATATGAAAGACATGACAACAAATTATCTAAATAATATTTTCCTAAGCAATCATTGAGTCACCAGAGTAAAAACAAATAATCAAAACAGTTAAAAATATAGACTACTTAGTAAAATGTTTTAAGGACAATCAAATGAAGCATTATGTGGTTTAACAAAACAATTTCTCTTTTACAGATTTCTTCTATTTGCTTCTATGTTATACTCAACTATTTCAGTTCACACAAAAAAAAACTGATGATACATTAGAGATAAACAGATTTAAAGGATGATTTTTTTTTTATGCACACTGAACATAACTTCAGCACTATGACCTGCTGTACTTTAAATATGGTGGATTTATTTAGATATCTCCTGATAAATGTTTTACCCGTTTTCTGGCACTCTGCAGAATCCTACGTTATGTGTTATGAAACCTAAAACTACAAAATGAAGAGGATAAGGAGCTACTTCAATGGCTGTAAAGCTACTTAGGGTATATTCCCACTGAAAGTCGTAATGCAAAATTCAGATTTTTTCTTTAATACGATTATGTCACAAAATCATTCGGAATATTCTGAAGAGTTCTGGAAGGAGATAGGAAAGAAAGCAAGATATGTCCTATCGATAGTTCTTTTACCATGTAGACCTCCTGACATTCCTATTTTACCACATGAAACCTATATT